TGACGTAGTGAAACACAATAAATGGTGAAGTGCTAAGAACAGCCTGGCATTCATCCTCACATTCTCAACCATTAATAGCATTATCATGAATGTTCTAGATTATAGAGTTTTTTGAGTTCCTATACCATGATTGTAGTGTCATCACCACAACACCCCTCTTAAGGGCAGTTTAAAATACTTTTAAAAATCAGTTGATTTTAATTCCAAAAGTTTTTTTAAGTTTATTGGTGTGGAAAATAAAGTCCTAAATACCAAAATAATATTAATAGTTAAAAAGAGTGAGGTTGTCACAATTCAATATAATAACATAGTTCAAGATTACCACACAATCCTTAGCCGTTAAAATGGCATCGCTATCTTCTACTCTATCTCTATAGTCTTCAATCTGAGTACATGCCAAAGTATAGTTATGAAACGGAGTGCCTAGTGATAATATCTAATGTTGACTAATTTAGAGAAATTAATAGTGAAAATCATTACATTCGAATCAAACCTCCAAAATCAATAAAATTACTAAAGGTTTAATAATCTCAAATCCAGGGTTCTATAGACCAAATTTCAAAGTAAAAAAGGTTTAATTATCCATAAACAAAAGTCAAAGGGGTGCATAGACCCATAATCCAAAAGCAAGAGGTTTACTAACCTATAATTAATTCAAGTTCCAATATAATCAAATAATCCAATAATGGTTAGCTAAATAAGATCTTTCAATTTCAAATAGATCAATGTATAAAAGTGGTATACTTCAATCGACATGTAATAATGCAATATGCATCTATCCTAAAATTTGCATCTTTAATTGTCGTGTTTGTGTGATTTATCGGTCTTTACTCATAATAAAAGTTGCAAACACTTAATGTTACATAATAAAAAAAAATCACATGGAGTTTACTAAATTACAGTCTAATATAACCTTAAACATCATTGTTTTGTCAAATTTCCTAGAATCTAAAGAATTTGCAATGCTTAGTTGGATTGTACTATGAATGGGGAATATAATTTTCTGTAGTTTTGATCCAAATACCCCTTAGTATAACCTTAAACATCATTGTTTTGTCAAATTTCATAGAATCTAAAGCATTTTGATGAACTTTTTTGTTGATTTGAAGGTATTAGTGTACGCATTGTATTAAATATTTTGTCTTGATTCCTTTATGAGTTTTTTCTATTTCAAATATTACCTTTAAAAGACTAACATAGAATGAAAACACGAAAAAGAGAACTCAAAGATGGTTTTATTAACTAATTTCAAGATGTCTATGAAGGCTTACAAATGGTCGGTGGAGCTAAATTTGACAGATACAACCAAATTTAGAAAATTAGAACTAACAAAAAAAAATCTTGAAATTAAACAGCTAAATAAATAAAGAAAATTTTAAAAATCAAGAAATGATATATTCTGTCATTAAAACAGAATCACAAAAGTTTGGGGAAATCGTAAATTGGAGGCCTAAACAACGGAATTTTGGGGTTGATCGATGGGTATCTAGCAATTGTCAGAAGCTCTGGCCGCCAAGAGCTTTCCGTCAATGTATCGCACACCTCCAAATTTCTTATGGATCAAAATGTACTTTTGTTTTAAGTTAGGCCTCTTTTGACCCCATTTGTCTTTCTCCCACTTGTCTATAAACGTTTCTACCAAATCATCTACATCGAAGGCAAACATTTATGAATGAATGTTTGGAATGTGATCTCACCACCACTTTTCCTTTATAGGCGGCCTAACTAGATTGCGAATCAGGAAGTAGCTAAAAAGATGAAAAGAAGGTTGTGAGTCATGTGAAATAAAAGGAAAACAGGAAAAACAAAAGACTTAAAACATGACAATTATGATGATTTTTCAACTATCATGTCCGATTATCTAACATCTTTGGATGATATCCTACAAGAACCTAATGGTAATCAATAAGGAGGATCTAATCCATCCACTACCAAATCCGAAAACGCAAATAAGCAACTAGGAGTTGGGGATGGTCTTGATATGATTTTGAAAATTTGACATAACATTTTCAATAACTATATTTAAAAATTATAAGTTGGATTGTAGTTCTCTCCAACCGATAATATTAAATTTTTTCCATATAATGGTGATGACATATCATGCCTTCATCATTTGAGAAATCATTAATATATATGATCAACTCATCTCCTCTCCAAGAACACCAACACTTTCTCTCATATTTTTTTAATTAAGATTAAGCATTAAATGAGGAATAAACATCATTGATCTTAAGGAAAATGACTTAATATGGTAACATAGTTTTTGCTATGTACATGTTTAGTCCTTATTGTTTTTTTATAAAATAATCTCTTGAACTTATTGTTTTTGTACACATTTAGTCTTTATGATTGACTATTCCAGGTTAAGTTCTTAGTTTGTACACATTTAGTTCTTAATGTTATTTTTTGCAAATTAAGTCATTGTTGTCTTTTAAATACATTTAGTCTTTATGATAAGTTTCTTCAGGGTTTACTCACATGACATCTTATGTGGGACAATCATTAATGTGAAATTCTCATATGTGGCTCGTATGGGAAGTGAAATTATGTGTTTCTTGCCTTTGTTTTGGTAATAGCATTGTGCTTTTTGATATTAGTAACTATTATAGTACAATACCAATTATATTTAATGTCAATGCAAACTTCATTCAATATCAATACCAACTACATTACATCAGGTGAAGAAAATACATTATCTATAATGATTTCTATTGATAGAAATAATGTTCACGTTCATAACAATTGGTAATATTACTATTAATATCAGAGTAATCCATGGATTACACGCAATGACAAATTTAAACAATTATTGGCATGAGAGTTTATCGGGGGATTCAGTTTGTTAATTTATTAGTGATTAATAAATTAATAGAAGTTCGTGACGCGTCTTCTTAATCCTCATGACAAAACCCTAATCGTTCTAGGGTTTTAGTATTTTCTATTTTGCGATTCAAGGCGATTGAGATAGGAAACCTCATCTTTAACAACTGCAAGCTCATCTTCAAAATCCGGTGTCAATTTGAAAAAAAAAAACATTTGCTGAAAAGTGGTCAAAATCGACATACCAAGGAATTAGGGAAGACACTAAACTTTTTTTCATGGTGTTATTTTATCTTGGAAGTGTAAATTCGAGTTGGGAGAAAGCAATCATAAAGAATCTCATTGTTTGCTACGAATATAGATGAAACTGAAGTCGGATATATCTTATTCTTAGAGAAAACTAGGGCACCAACATTATTTGACCGATATGTGAATTAGGATATATCTTATTCTTAGAGAAAGCCGGATATAACAATTTAAAAAGATAATTTAAAAAAAATCAATAAGGACTAAACGTGTATATAGCAGAAACTATGTTACTAATAGTCATGTTCCCTTGATCTTACTATCAAACCACACCATCTAACTATCAAACCACACCATGGCATCGTCTTCTACAAACACACCCATGCAGATTGGATTTCCAAGTAAGTCTTAAAGTTCTTTGTGTATTAAAATCTTAAAGTTCTTTGTGTATTAAAATGTGTTGAATCACATGATAACTTGGTCAACGTGACTTAGTTTAATCAACATTTTCCCCTTAAACTATATTATATTTTCCTATTTTGAATTGCATCGTGTATTTTATGAGTTTGTATCTTGCATTTATACTCCCATGAAAGAAACTACAACAAAACCAAAATCTCATATAAATAAGTTAAGGGAAGGTGCTAAAATGAAAATAGATACTAGCAATAAAGCTAAAAAAAATATACCTAACAAAAAGCATAAAAATTCCATAAAGAAACCATGACCTATATTACTCATTTATCTTGATTTTAAGCATCTATTCCCTCCGATCTAAGGTAGTTTTTTTTTTTTGGAATGATCCAACTTCTTCATGTTCAACCTCACACTATCTTCCTATTTTATTCTTAGTCGTCCTCTCCTTCTTGCACCATAAGTAATAATTGTGCCCACAATTCTAACCACAACTTTCATCTTCTATAAATGCTAGTTATTATTAGGAAGAGATTCACATCCATACAACATAAGCCAACTTAACTGCTACCATATAAAAAATTTCTTTAAGTTTTAACGGACGATAACCTCCATTTTAAATATCATGCTTTAATACTGCAGTAAATCATCATCGACACTCCTTTCTTTATGGATCATAGACCCGAAGTTGTTAAAACTCCTCTTTTGGTGTATCACTTGCTCCCCAAATACATACTTCCACCCTATCATTACGCTCCTTACTGAAATGCACCAAAGATATTTCGTCTAAATTGCAGTGATCTATAATCCCTTCTCTTCAAACATCAACTCCATGTATCTAACCTAGCATTTAGTAGAACCCTAGTCTCTATCACAAACACAATGTTGTCGATAAAAAAAAACATAAACCATGGCACCCCTTCGTGAATCTAACAAGAAATGTCATCAATACTTATAGTGGAGATGTATAAACTAAGAGCCTATCTCAGATGTAGCCTAATTTTCACCTTGAGATAGTACGTTTCACTGATTAAAGTTCGGACACATGTTGTAGACCGAAAGTACATATCATAGCAAATCTCCCTAATACCCTTCAAGATTCTAGGGTCCTTTAAATCCTCTTACAATGTACACTATCATATGTCTTCTCATGGTCGATGATGATCATATAGAGCTTCTTATTTCTCAGCGTATGGATATTGTCAACCCCCCTTGCAAGAATATTGATATCAAATAATTCAAGAAAAAATCTCAAAAACCAATTCACCTCCTTCTCGATTCTCGTTACTTAAACATTCTATGTGTGGTTAATCAATAGTCGTTATATGATATTAGTCGAGTCTTCTTGATTTAGCCATCAAAATCTTGGCCTCTTACATAGGAGACTCCCTTCCAACCTAGATTAAGCCTAAATAAGCACCATGAACTTTAGATGACATCAAACTCTAAACGGACTACATAATTTGAACTAATACGATAAAAAATTTACAGTAAAATTTTTGTATACAAGGTCACTCTTACGTGTTTGTATGATCTAACGAATTTGACATTAGGCTAACTTGCTATTTTCTATTTGCTATGGTTTAATTAAACAATGACCTTGAACATAACATTACAATTTTGATTGACAAGAGCAAGAAACAAGGCCTTATCATCTCTTATCACTTTGAGGCATTCAATGACATATCTCTCTTGTTGCTATAATTATCAATCGATGCATCATCTCCATTCATCATGCTTGAACTTCCCTCAGAGTATTTTCTCTTGGAACGAGTTCTTATAGTTTCTTCTTTTTTATCAACAAACGAAAAGAATGTTTGAAGGGATCCCGAACGAACGCTTCTCCCGGTTGACTCAGCAAGGGTTGGATAGTGTTTGGTAAATTGGCGTATCGTGAGTACAAAGTATATGAGAAGAGCAAGAAAACAAGCTAATCCACATATTAAGAAGAGGCCTTTAAAACTCGTTAGTTCAAGTTTATCAACTTCAAACTGTGTTCCTTGTGAACTACATGCACTTCTCAACAACCACTTGTCATGAATCCTTTGTAGGTCACCATTTTCTGATAGTTTTAGAATTGCTGTTGACATATCGGCTGCTAGAGGAGAATCCCTAGGGAACGCCTTTCACAAAACAAGATCACAAAACATTAACTTTGATTTTCAATTTTCGATTTTCAAATTTCCATGTTGAATGGATTAATGAGAACTTTGTACTTACAAATCCCCATCCATTTTTGGTAAACTCTTGACCAACAATGCTGAATTCACAACGGGATGAAAGGAAGAGTTCAATGTATGCACGTTCATCAACCACTGCTGCAACACCACCGTTGTGGGGCCCATCTTTCAATGCTTTTTCATAATCTTCAGGCAATGAAAGAGGAATTAATCGATCTGAATTAATACCAAGTTCTCCTACAAGATAGTTTTTGACAAATGAATTCTCTTGATACCCAATCAGATCTTTGCTCATCATCAAACTTTCAATTCCTTTAATAGGTGAAGAAAGCTTCTGAACAGTCAGTATTGAGGTCAAACTTGCTGTATAGCTCGAGTTTATTATGAGAACCACAAATAACCATAGAATTAAAACTATACGACCAAGAGTGCTCAATGTGTTTTCTCCTGCATATATATACCAAGTAAGATCATATATATAATGATAAATCAATAAATACACTTACTGTGGGAGGAAAACAGTGTTGAAAAGCTAAACCTGCAAAAAGAAGAAGATAAAGAAACATTAACAATGAATCTGTTCTAGAAGTCTTTAAACATTAAACTTTAAACACACTTATTTACTTACTTACCATAGAACTGTGACAAGTTGTTTCTTAGGAGGACCACGAAATTCATCATTTACACGATGTTCAAGAATCCATACAACAGCTCCAACAAATAAGAAAAAGATTCCTGAAACAGACCACATTAAAGGAGAGAAAGGTTTAAGAAAAGCCCAAGTACTAGAGCTTGATCTTCTAACTGGAACCACTACAACAAGCCCAGATTCAACAAATGGTTGTGTAAAATCTGCTATTCGAGTCCTGTTAGTAGTGATAGCAATGTCTCCCACCACAGCATCATAAACCTGTATTATATATATATAGCTTAATTTGGTTAAAATTTAGCAACAAGATTGAGACTTTTTATTGAAATACTCACACCAGAGTTGATTAAGGTCAAGAGCTCTGTGTTGCTTGGGTTCTTGACACCATCTCCATAGGAGTGAAACTTATATGGAACAGCATATGGAAGTAAGTTTACAGCAGATGTAAACACATCAATGCAGTGTCCTTTGAATGAATCACTGTCTTTTGATTGTCCTACAAATTCTTGAAAACTGACTCGATTTGGAACACCGATTTTCAACTGTTTTCCACTATCAGGGAAAACCCATCCACGTGGCTTTTGAATGATTTGACCAGGCCAAATCACAGTGTGTAATAGCTCAGAAGAACTTGATTGATCAGATGGCTTTGTGTTGACTTTTTCTGGAGTAATAGTTGACAAACCTGAAGAATTTGACCAATACCCGATTCTCCTAACACCAGTACCAATCACATTTATGACTTCAAATGCAGGAAAAACAAGGTTTTTATCGGATGAAAACTCGATAGCTCCTGTTAATCCTTTCATTTTGACATTTAATATTTCTTGAAGCAATAACTTTCCTCCATTAAAGATACTCAAAGAATCAAAATTCAACATTTCTCCTGGTAAAGCTTGTAACTTTGGATCTTTTGAGAATGAAATGTTTCCACCTTTATCAAAGAAAGAGTCAAGTGCATGAGCAAGAAGCCAAACAGTGTCGTATGCGAATAAACAAAAAGTACTTAACCCATAATTTGTCATGTTTCTCCACTCAGAAGCGAATTTTCTTGTGAGTTTTGAATCTTTTGTGTATGTTTTTAATGTGATAAAACCTTGCATAAGATCAATTGTTTTGGAAGGGAGTGGAGAACTAATGTCTATAACAGTAGAGAGCCAATTAGTAGTGATCCAAACATACCCACTACCCAACATATCAAGATTTCTAGCAACTTCAAGTATATCTAATCCATATTGTGGATAAGTGTGGACAACAAGAATTCTTGACTCCATTAAAGCAACTTGAACCAACACATCACTTATGTCTGTTTTTGTTGCTAATGGTTTAATAGGTGCTTTATGGGAGATCTCACATCCTCTAGATGCTAATTGATCTCCTAATGATATTATTCCATTTCTTCCATGATCATCATCTATGTAAATCGATGTAACTTTTCTCCATTCGTAGTACTTGATTATGTCTGCTATGGCTGCCATTTGATAAAGATCGCTGTGAGTTGTGCGCACAAAGAAAGGATACTGAAGGGAATTCAATGTAGGATCAGTAGCTGTGAAAGACAATAGAGGAACATGGAGCTCATTTGCCACGTGGGATATCACATGAGCTAAGACTGAACTTTGGGGGCCTATTAAAGCCACTGTATCTGTCTCCATCACCTTTAAAGCTGTTACCAAAAACAAGTCAAATCGCATAAGAATATACTGTAAGAAAATGTTTAGAAGATTTACCTTCCATAATATTCATAAATGCACTGAAATTGGAGTCATGAAGAGTTATTTGCAGCTTGGTTCCCTTAAGAATAGTGGGATCAGAGTTCACATCTTCACATGCAGCCTGTAAAGCAATTTTTGCGACTTTTCCAATGATGGAATTAAATGTCAAGATGGATGCAATATTCACGACATCTGGTCTTGTAGAAACACTGGTATTGTTAAGCCCTTCAGTGAAGCATCCATTGAAATCCACCACTAACAGGAGCAATGCCCAAACTAGATTCTTTGGCATTTTTTCTTACAAAAGGCTGGTTTCATACACCCTGATACACAAAATAAAACAAGAGAATTTTACTTTCAGTTGTCCAGATTGATCAAAGCCTCAAGAGCGTGTTTCTATTGTATGAAAAAAGCAGGGTTTGATTTAAGAAAACAGTGAAAAAGCAACGATGTAAACTTTTGACCAAGTTAGGTGAAATAGTTGCTAATTTTGAGCAAAATTTGTGTATCAAGTTTACAAGTCAATACTTTAGAGGGTTGTGTCTTGACCAACTAGCACGAAAGTATTAAAGAAAAAATCCTCAAAACCCATTTAAGCAAAACATCAAGCACGTTGTGTGTGCAAAAGATTCTAAATACAAGAAAGCATATAAAAATGTCGACCATAATGTGAAATAATACACAGAGAGAGAGAGAGAGAGAGAGAGAGAGAGAGAGAGAGAGAGAGAGAGAGATTACAGAGAAGAGCAGCCTAAGAAGCCATCCACAGTGAGCCAAAGAAGAGCACTGAACAGACAAGAAATCAAATGATGGGATTTTGCAGCAGGGGACTAATGATATAGCTAAAATTCCTAGAGGGTTTCATGTATGGTTTAGAAAATTTCTTGGTTTTAAAGTGATAATGATAATTATCACAAAGGATTCTTGAATCTCGTACGAAAATGTGTCCTATTTGTTGGAAACTTCACGCGTCCTATTTCCGGCTTTCTGATAATTGTCGCTGTAAAACTCATGAACCATATGTGATACAGTCGTCGAACAATTGGGAGTTCTTGTCAAGTGTCACGTGTTTCATTATCTAATGTTGGATGTTGGCTTATTTTTAAGGGAAACTGAGTGATAATAGACAAGAATGGTTCATGGGGTATATCAAAACTCGTATCTTTGGGCCAAAAACGTTTGGACTAACATCAGTGATCCAAAAGTTTCATTATCTTGCGAGTTTGATTCAATTTGGTTTAAATAATTTTGTAGTCTTTATTATTTAATTTTTTGTTTTTGTTTTATTACCATCATTTAAAAATAAAACAAAAATAAAATATTCTCTCTCTCTCTCTCTCTCTCTCTCTCTCTCTCTCTCTCTCTCTCTCTCTCTCTCTCTCTCTCTCTCTCTCTCTCTCTCTCTCTCTCTCAACACAAGAAAAAAACCATCTAAAAAATAAGATCTTTCACTTCTTCAATTCAATAATTTGTTTACAAAATTAACAAAAACAAATGCAGAACAAGTTCCAACAGGGGGACAAAGTGATGCAAGTTTCAGAACTCGGTGGTTTTAACCTTTCCATGGATCTTCAAGAAATTAAGATCTGAAAAGATGGTGATGAAATACTGCCTGAAAATCAGACCTTTATCATATATACACACTGATGAACCTAAAGATCAACACCAGCGGACCATCTGAAAACCTAAGTCTCGGACCCATCTCACGTTTCCTGAGTTCAAGAACAAGAACATCACATTCACGAACCCATAAATCATTCATGAACCCATAAATCATTTTTTCAGATCTGATGAATTGCCCTTCACCACCACCTGAATCGACATCAAGAAATATTTCAAACAAACCCAGCAACAACAATCAAGATAGAAGAAGAAGAACGAAAGAAACATAACAAACGTAACAACAACAAATCTTAACCCTAGATCACGATCTCAGTCGTTTTCTCCAGCACATTTACTCAAAATAGCCATCGGACGAACAAAGTTGGGGATTTTCGGCCGTCTTCGAAAGAGAAAGATTAGGAGAGAGATGAACAGTCGATGAAACCCAGAAGGAGAGTTATGGCTCTAGAAAACTATCGCCTGTAGCACAACCACCACCACCTGAAGCCGGTAAGAGGGAGTTGAAGAGACACAGTCGGAGACGAAAAGAGACAGAAACGTAGATCATAGATCAGAGCTACAACCCTTCATAAACATAGATCGAACAGATCTGGCACCGTCAGAAAACCCTTCGTCAGAGAAGGCGGAGGGACGTCTCTAGTGATGGACAACGCCATCGTCTTTGTCGGATGAACATATCTGGATTACACCTCGATAATTTAGGAAAGCTCTGATAGAGATGGCAGATTGGAGGGTAATGAGTGCTTGGTGGGCAACTGAGAAGACGAAGGAAGAAGGTCGAGAAAGAGAAGACGAATGAAGAAGGTCGAGAAAGAGAAGTGTCTCTGGTGGATGTGTGATTTTCCGATGAACAAAGATTGAGCACAGCTAAGAGAAAATAGAAATGTGGGAAGAAGATGAATAGTTCGAGTCAGAGAGAGAGAGAGAGGGTATTTTATTTTTGTTTTATTTTTAATTGTTGGTAATAAAACAAAATTGGAAAATTAAATAATAAGGGCAAAATAGTCTTTACAAAAAAGTTCAAACCAAACTAGATCATACTCGCAAGAAAATGAAACTTTTGGACCACTTATGCTAGTCTAAACATTTTTGGCCCAAACATACGAGTTTTGACATACCACAAAGACCATTCTTGCAATTTTGTCGTGATAATCAATATAAATGTTTTTTTTCCTTATTTTTGTCAAAAATAATTAATTTTTCTTTTGGGTTTTGTTTTGTGTTTCTGAGTAGAGTTCGGAATCTCGGACCAACATTCTGGAATTGTACTCCAAAATACATTTTTTTCAAACATAAAGTGTGTTCCTTTTAGTGTTTAATTTTGGTTTATTGGTTGTTAACATTTATATGGTTTTTGAATTTAATAGTTGGTTATTTCTAATGTGTTCATTTTTAGTATTTAGTTATGGTTTATTGGTCGTTAATTTTTATATGGTTTTTGAATTTAATGGTTGGTCATTTTTAGTGTTAATTTTTAGTATTTAGTTATGGTTTTTCGGTCGTTAACTTATAGTTTTTGAATTTAATGGTTGGTCATTTCTAATGTGTTCATTTTTGTGTTTAATTGTGGTTTATCTGTGTTAACTTTTATATGGAAATGGACCCCTACTTTTTCAAAAAGTAACAGAATAATGTTTTTAACCATTAAACCTATTGCAAAAGGTAATTATTACATAAACTTAAATATGTTTTAAATAATAATACAATGTGCAAATGGACCCTTACTTTTTATTTATACCTATACAATTTTTACAAATCGCTTTCAATTTGAGTTGGCGTGGTCTCGGTGGAACCCTTTATCCTCACAGATTTGCCCGTGGTCAACATCTCTAGAAACTAACATAAGAACATTCAACAATTCCCTTTATCGCTAGATTGTTGTGGTATGTTTGCGCCCTTCACAAACTTAAGTTTGAAACTGTCAAGGAGGATCACATCAGTGGGTTTGGTACCCCAATTGATACCCACTAGGAGTTTGTGGATACCCAATAATTAATACCCATTAGGGAATCACAATCCCCTTTATCACTATAAACCTAGATGCATCTTCTGAAAAATAGTCGTCCTTCCGATAACTATCATATATACTCAATGTGAATGTATAAAAATCCAAAACTCTAAAAACCAATGGGCAAAGAGGTATATTGATAGGGATGTAAAGCTACAAAAATGGTTTGAATTAACTAATCATCACATGACATTTTCTTATAAATGACTATTACTCAGATAATGTAATTGAAACATAAGTATATTGTATCATAAACATACCAAGCTTGGTAAATGGATCCATCAGCCATGTCATACCACTCCTCTATATCTATATTGAAAATTGTTAGTACAAATGTCCACCGAGCATCATCCGTTCTTTGCTCCATCGACAATGAAATCCAGAACATGATGTGTTGTCAATCAACACATGTACACAATAAAAATTAGTAACCTAAGTGAATGTTTAGTGTGTAATGATCACATACGAATGTAACTAAATCACATTCGACGCATCCAAGTCAATATCCCCATATATACACATACAAAACTCCATCATCGATATATACTATATATGTGAGAAACCGGTGAACAAACAGTAGAGAAGCACCCTTGTTTTCATATAGATTGTGAACGTTATCGTATATACAAATGTCCAACGTTGGTGAGTATCAACGTGAAATGTCTTTCTTTTTTTATCTATATCCATGGGGACTTCAACCATGTGGATGCATGTGTTACTCGTTGGGTATGCCTAAGAGCTAGCGGTGGTGTTTTGTAATCTGCCCGGGGAACCTCTTTTATCTCCGGCAGATCTACAGATTGAGGTGTATATACAATATCTATATGTATAATAGGCATATGCTCAGGTCCGTTATACTACAAAAAGAAATGATTATATATAATTAAGTTTTGAACAATACAACGTGTAAAATACATATGTAATTGTCTACGTACCTCATACTCAAGAGTCCAAAAGTCATCATCGTGTAAAGTACCATAGTTCTATGATAAATGGTTATACGGTATGACATTGTCACCCTAGAATCATTTAACGAATACATATTATTAAATTATTAATGATGCAATAACGGGTATACCAGAAAGTTAAATAACAATGAAAGGGCGTTAAATAAGAATGTACCTCCAACCCGTGTGAGCTACCATCATCCTTTGTGACACCCTTATTATTAAGATGTACATGTATTGCCTACCGCAACTTCGAGTTGTAAAATATGCATCTCATGTGCCACCAACTGCCTCTGACATTCTTGAAGCTCCTTTTGCAAGTCCATTATAATTTGGTCCTTATATATAGCTAGTACAGTTTGTGATGGTGGTGGTGGCTCGGATGCATATGAACCTTTGTTAGCATCTCGGTGTACCTGCTTTTTAGAGGCTCATAATTAGGTGGCTTTTGAGGTGATGATGTGAGAGACGATGCCTTATCGATGTTTGAAGTATGTAAAACATCACGTTCAATCCATGTAGAGCTAAAATACCATCAGGCCGCATGACTCTCATCCGCTGTCAGCTGCAACTTTTCTATAAGTTTATTATCCTCTTAACATAATTATACATCAATTGTTATCATCATTATACATAGGGGTGAAAAATGAAAATTTTATATAAATAATCATACCTACTCAACATGAAGAAACGAATCACATTGTTGCTTCTTTAAAATCCTAAGCTTTGACCATCCAACAATCTGAGGGATCACATTTGGTTTCCAGGTGTAACATCCCCCTCTGGCACGTATCACAATACTGTCCGCTTTGGGCCACTCGGCACGAGGACTTCCCAGGGGGTCACCCATCCTGGTACTATTCCCGCCCGAGCACGCTTAACTGCAGAGTTTTTATGGGATCTGCTGCCTTCACAGCTTTAAAACACGTTATGACAAGGAAGGTATCCACACCCCTTATAAGGAGCGTTTAGTTCTCCTTCCAAGCAAATGTGGGAGTAGGTGCAACCCACCTTCACCCCCCATTATAGGGTTCGACGTCCCCGTCAAACACATCGACCCGTGCCCTAGATCTGATACGTAACATCCCCCTTTGGCACGTATCACAATATTGTCCACTTTGGGCTCCCAGCACAAAAACTTCCTAGGGGGTCACCCATCTCAGCATTGCTCTCGCCCGGGCACGCTTAACTGCGGAGTTCTTATGGGATCCGTTGCCCTCACGACTTTAAAACGAGTTATGACAAAGAAGGTATCCACACCCCTTATAAGGAGTGTTTATTTCTCCTTCCAAGTTGATGTGGGATTAGGTGCAACCCAGGTGAAGGTGGGTTGCAGCTGATCTCACATCGGTTTGGAAGGAGAATGAAACATTTCCTTATAAGGGGTGTGGATACCTTCCTTGTCACAACGCGTTTTAAAGCCGTGAGGACAGCAGATCCCATAAAAACTCTATAGTTAAGCGTGCCCGGGCGAGAGCAATCTAGGGATGGGTGACCCCCTG